TACGGTAAGGGTGACCAGAATCTGGAATAAACTTCCCAAGCAGGTGGTGCAGTCCACAACCTTGGAAGCCTTCAAGAAGAGACTGGACAGACACCTTGCTTGGATCATTTGATCTCAGCTGTATTCCTGCCCAGAGCAAGGGGATTGGACTTGATGATCTTTCAAGGTCCCTTCCAGCCCTTAATTTCTATAATTCTGTGAATTACAGAAGAAGGGAGGAGGCCAACAAATTCACCACTTCTACTGAATTCTACAGATTCTTATTTAAACTGAGCTGTGATTATGTTGTGCAATAGTATTTTTAAGTCGCTGAGATTGCAACATGCTCTTCATTTATTATCATATCAAAAGAAATAAAAATATGGTATCACAAGGCATTACTGTATTTTTGAAACCAGAAAGTATTCCTCTGAGATTGGTGTAGAAGGATTCTGGAAATGTTGTACACCTGCCCAGTTTATCTTGTTCACAGGAGCAGAGCTTGTCTTTGACAGAGACTTGGTGGTCAGGGAGGCAGAAAACTAAGTAGGTGTCTGTCAGATTCATTTTTTTTGTAGTTTTACTGATTAACTTTATTTTTAAATGTGGCTTTTCCTTTTATCTGTTACCAACTGTCTTGGGTGCCCAAGCTTGGAAATGTTTGTGTCCCATTCTAACCAAGTGTCAAACACATGATTGTTTGATCCTTAAATAGAAAATGAAATTCATATGCATTCCCAGAATGAATGATAAATTGAACAGTTATTTCTACTCTTTAATAGCACTCACAATCTTGGATTTTGCAATAAGATTGTAATTAGGTAAATGAGGTCAGCAATAATTTTTGATATTTCCTTAGGCTGCCTTAGAAGATTCTCCCGTCTGAAGAAATAGCCCTGTTGACATAGCTGTTATTTCTGCTGCTGGGTTGCTTCACTTCCCACTCATTAACAGGCACAAGTAATATGTTATAGCAATAAAACTGGGTAAGCTACCTTCATTTTGCATGTGAAGACAGCATTAAATAATGGACCAGCTAGTCCTACCCAGGTATTAAATCATGCTATCAGTTTAAATGAGAATTTCCATTTACCTTAAAGTTCTCTGAAACAAAACCTCGCAAGTGGTTCAGAAGGAAATTTTCTTCAGAATAGATGACATATGCAGTAGTGAGCAACGTTTAACAAGCCACTGGTCATAACAACTCGGCTCTGGTGTGATGCGGGCCAGGTGGCTTTGGCAGTATGTCAGTGGTGGGGTGATTTTTCTACACCTGTGCTAGAGCCAAGCAGCTGGGAGTAGATCCTATGCCAGTGCTGCTTCCCTCAGCTCCCAACCGAGCTGTGCTGGGGCTGGGCAGCTGGAAGCTTGCTGCCCAACATCTCTTCCCCCCATCGTCTTTCCTACCCCCTCATCTTCCAAATTGTGGCACAGTTCCCCACTGATTAGACGCTGCGCCTATACTTCAGCCAGGATGCAGGGGACTGGGGGAAGCAGTGGTGTCGCAGGTGCCGCTTGCAGCTGCCCAGCCCTAGTATAGCTCCTTGCTGCCTGGCCCCAGCATATACATAGACACAGGCAATGCCTGCTGGCTCCAGTGGCTCTGTGGGCTGATACTGGCCCAAGGTCATATGTTGCTGACCCCTGATATAATGTAAATAATATAGGAACATAGAACTGATATGGATTTCCTGGATTATCAAATGTACATCAAGTCTAGGCCCCTGCCATTGCAGGGAACCATGTAATAGAGTCCCTTTCATAAATGTATTGACCTATGGCTTAAAATAGTTCCCCCTCACTATCATTCCAACTGCTCACCTGTCCCACAAACTCACTGCTCAAATGATTAGAAACCTTCTAATTTCCAGTCTGAAGTTATTAATGTGAGTTTATGCTCATATGTTTTTGTGCCCTCATTTTCCCTTAGCTTAAATACCTCCTCTCCCTCATAGGTGTTCCCTCCCTTGACACATCTGTAGAAAAAATTGATAGCCCCCCGGCCCCCCGCTCCAACTTGTTTACTCTGGATAATAAGCCAAACCCTTTTGATCTTGTCTTTTGAGGTAGGCTCTCCATTCCACTGATTTTGACCAACGATTTTTATTTTGACACTTGTATTAGATCTACATATAAACTTAAGTTTTCAAATAAGAACAGATAATTTACACATACCAGGAACTTAGTGAAATCCCAATTAAATAAATAAAAGGTAAAGAATGTATCATACCAAGTATGCTTCTTTGCTTATATAGTTCTTTCCTAATGTGCTGAATACTGAAGCATGCAGGTGCCAGCTACATGAATAAGAGCCATTTGTAATCCTTTGTTTACATTATTACCACTAATTGGAATTATTTAATGGAATAGTTAATTTGAAATACACACATTTGGAAACAACAGCAAGGAAGATTGCTATTGATCCTTACAGAAAGAAAGTGGAAACTAGAAGACATAACACAATGCAAACTCAGCAAAGAACAAATATGAAACCAGTATGACAGAGTGATGATAGAAGTAGAGGGAGAAATCCAATAATGACTGAAGTGGAAAGACACATCCTATTCCAGTAACAAAGATACAGAATAGTAAAAGAAAACTGTTTCTTTAAATTGACATATATAAGATGCAAATTCTTTCAACTTTTCTGACAATTAAAAAGAAAAACTATATATAGCTCTGCAGGCAAGGAGAGGCATGGGCAGTAATAGTTAACACTCCGTAGCAATCTGCACCTGTATAAAAACAAAGAGCAATAACAAGAAAAAACGGGATAAATTCCAGATGTATTATGAAGACTTCGTCTGGACAGATGATGCTATAGTTAGTATATCTGCAATGTGGCAGAGACATGAAATTTCTGTCTTTCTATCAACTCCAAAATAATTTGTTCTGGTTGTTCCTGAACCAGTGGTTCTCAACCTTTTTAGCTCAAGGCACCCCTTGTTAAACTTGAGGTGCCCCTTGTTGGATTCTAGGCACCCCTCAGAAAATGCTGGCTCTTAGTTTTCACTTGTTTTTTTTTTCACCATGAAAAGATAGAGTATTTTTTCCTGTTATAAAGCACTCAGAAATCCTACAACAGGTCAGAATGTTTTTTAAATTATGGATTCCTATTTAAAATTTCTAGATTTATTGTGTGAATCACATGTGCATACCTAATAATGCTAACATTGCATGACACCCCAGAATACCCATGAAAGGACCTCAAGGCACCCCAGGGTGGCACCTAGATTGAGTATCACTGTTCTAAACTGTTCCATGCAGCAGATTCTAGCTAGACATATGATGCTGTACAATTTCCTCATTTTATTTAAAGGACTTTAATATAGTTCAGATTTATATTCCATGTCACCAATTGCTGTAATTGCCACAGCGATGTTATTTGACTACAAGCCTACCCACCTTGCAGATTCTGGGAGCAGAATTAGCACGAGATTATCTTTCCGTTTAATGCTGTCCACTCTTTGAATAGATTTGGGAACCTCTGCTGTGTTTTCATCACAAATGTTGCCAACCTATAACAGGGGAAAAGTTGCTTATATATCTGGCATTGCTCTCTAACCTTGTAACTTTTTATAAAAGCTTGCTTATAATTTCTGATAATTTGAAGAAAAAATTGTTGTACAGTTTGTATTTTGAACATCAGAGTAGGTATTCTTCCAGTTCAATTACTCTTCTGCCAGAGGTGAAGGAAGCAAAGTTTTCTTGGGCCAGCTGTAAAGTTGGGAGAGCTGTTAGACAAGCTTTCAGGCACAAAAGCAGAACAGGACTTTGAGGCTGACAGGGACGTCTGTCCTTTACACCTTCCACATTTGAAAGATTCTGTTGCAGGAGTGAGGGGCATCCGCAGGGCCAGGGGGCTTTCAAACACAAGGCATTTTTTACAGGAAGCCAAGAGCAGCATGTTTTACTGTTGAAAGCTTATCTAACTTTATTTCAACTCATGATTTTCCATCAGTTTGCATGGTTAAGGTTCAGTTTTTTGTACCTCACTGAATCTAAAGGTTTTTTTAAAAAAACACTATAAATATTGTTTTCTCTGTCTGGTAACTTTTATGTGTGGAAAAAAATGATGTCTACAACTGGGTTTGCCAGTTAAGGTTTAACAACTGGCAGGCTCTTGCAGCTTGTTACCTCTTTCCTTGCAATAAACAAACAAGCAAGGAAACCCAAACTAAAATAGAAACAATGTCTTCTTTGATCCACAAGAGAATCATAGCCATGGGCCCAAACAAACAGCTAGCCCCTCCTGTTGTTTGAGGGGCTATTATGTGTGCACCAACTGATTCCTTGGGACAGCTAAAACAGTAACAGGGACATGAGTGAGGGGCAGAGGCTGAGAACAAGCACCCGGGGGACACGCTGAGCCAATCACACTGGGCACCGCCCTCAAACAAGACAGTGGAGCCAGCAGGCACTGCCTAGGGAAACTGCCCAGAGATACGAGTGGGTTAGGGACAGGACCACGGCCCCAGAGTCAGTCACCAAACAGAAACAACAGGCCTATTTGATGCATAAGGGCAGCGTGGGCTTTATGCCCAGAGCAATGGTTAGCACCCCTGTTATTAGAGCGTGCTACTGAGCGTGGTTCAACTTAGTTTGGGGGATGACTAAATAGAAAACAGGGCCAGGAGCGAGGGTCAGAGGTTCACAGCGAGTGCACTCCGGGGGAACACTGAGTGGAGCCTGGGCCGGACACGGTCAAAGCGGGCGGCTGCCGCCCAGGGCCCTGACAGAACGTGGGCCTGAAATGGTAACTTTTTTTCTGCCTCCTATTATTATTATCGTTATCTCGGGGGGTGGGGGGGGGCTGATACTGACAGCCTGCCCGGGACCTCCAGGGGTGCACGTCCGGGGCCGAGCAGAGCACCCGGGCACCGCCCCCCGGCCCTCCTGCAACCCAGCCCCAGCGCTGCCCCGGGCGACTCGCTGAGGCAAGAGGGCGGGCGGCGGCTGCCCGAGACAAGGCGGGAGGCGGAGCGCCGGGCGGGGCCAACGGGCGGAGGCAGCCTCGGCTGCAGTTCCTGGTGTGGTGGGAAGGCGATGGCGCGGGCCCGGTTGGGCTGTGCTGCTCTGCTGCTGGTGCTGGTGCTGTGCTGGCCGCGGCCGTGCGCGGGCGGGCGGGCGCCGCACGTGGTGCTGGTGCTGGCCGACGACCTGGGCTGGCACGACGTGGGCTGGCACGGCTCCCGCCTGCGCACGCCGCACATGGACGCGCTGAGCTCCGGGGGCGTCCGCCTGCAGCGCTACTACACGCAGCCCCTCTGCACCCCGTCCCGCAGCCAGCTGCTCTCCGGCCGCTACCAGGTGAGGAGCCCGCCCGGCCCGGCCCCCCCAGGAGGCAGCCAGCCAACCCACCCCCGTGGGTGGCGGCATGGGCACATCTAGGGTTTTCAAAAGAGGGGTGTATGCTGTTCCCTGCTTCATCCCCTGCAGCCCAGAGCACCTCTCTCGCCTGTTAAGTGGGAAGCTCTGCTAGCAGGCCAGGGCCCGGGCTGTGCTGCCCAGTGAAGGGCCCAAGCAGAAGCGAATGGACTTTGCTGAGCTGTGCCTTCACTTGCAGCGCCATGCACCTTGCGTGTGTGGCACTGTGGTGGGCTGGGCAGCCGCACGGGGAGGCGGTGTTTCTTTACTCCCGCAGTGCAGGCGTTCCCATGGAGCATGCTGCTTTCTCACAGCGGTAGATCTCGCCTTCCTGAACACCTCGTATCACCCCACCGAGGCTTTGTCTACCTCTAAGGATGGAAGTGCTGCCACCTCACTGGAACAGGCTTCCTGGAGAGGTGGTAGCATCTCTCCATCCTTAGAAATTTTTAAGGCTTGGATAGGCAAAGCCTGGTTGGGATGGTCTGGTTACGGATGGTTCTGCTTTGAGTAGGGGTTGGACTAGATGCAACCTCCTGAGCTCCCTCCCAGCCTTCACTTTCTATGATTCTAGGATCTTGACAGTGCATCCAACATTTCACAGTAAGTTATTTCCACACCACAGTTAATGTTCTTCTGGGTTAATGTTTCAAACCCCCAGCTAATTTTTTTAGCTCAAGTGGAAAAAAACAGTCGGCAGGGCTGTGAAATAGGAGCAGTGGAACAGCTAACACACAGCAGCATTGCAGAAGACAGGATAGCTGGTGGATCAAAGAGTTCAGAAGAAATCAGATAAACTGTAATGAGCCGTGAAGTCAAGTGGTTCCCTTGATGTTGTTTGAATAGAAATGCTGCTGCCACTGCTAGACAGCTTGATATAAACTTTGGGTGAAGCAGGAATCAAAGGGGGGTTGTGACTGTCACAGGGTGTTAGGCCTGTGTTGCGTCAGGGTTGATGGTAGTGTAGATTAAGGACTGTATAGGATGGTTTGAATAGGGATGATCCTGCCTCAGGCAGGGTGGACTAGATGACCTCTGGAGATCCCTTCCAGCTTCTACCTCTCGATGATCCTCTATAACTGTAAAACTGAACCCCTGGTTGGAAATGCCTGGTCCACCAACAAACACATCCGTGCTGCGTGAGCAGGCTTTCAGCTGAGGGACCCTGTTTAGTTAGCAGCACCAGGAGCTGTGTCACTCTGCAATCCTGATTTGTTCTTTTTATATCTAAAGTCAAAGGTGCTGTCATTGTCCAATGATGAGCACCTTGAAGAAACCTCACTTTGAGGCTCCCAGCCTTTTCCAACTGGAGGTGTCCCTTGTTAGCCTGGAGGCTCCTTTGGGAAGTGCCAGCTTTTAATCATTTTTTGATCACAGAAAAATCCTAAAGCAACTCTTTTGTTGCACAGAACTCAGAAACCCTACAACAGGGTGGCATATTTTTAACATGTGGATTCCTATTTTAAATCCCTGGGTTTATCTTGTGAATCATTTTTGCATACCGAACAGTACCAGCATTGCACAGTACTAGCTGCAGCACCCTGGTTGAGAATCTCTGCCTTAAGCTATATTGGACACTTGACCAAAGGATGTAATTTTTGAAGCCAGTTCTTTCAGATCTGTTTAATATTGTTATGCAGTGTCTGCTTCTATGTGGAGCTCAAGATCATTTACATCTGGAATGTTTTAACTTAAGGAATTTTGTACAAGTGTGTTATTAAAAATAAGTCTTGAAAGGTAAGGAGGTATTATCAGGACCTGTGGGACCTGTTGGCATGCTAGGAAACATGGGAGAAATAAAGTTTGTTATGGATGCGATTGGGTGCAAAAGAAATTTGACATGTCGGACTCTTAAGTCAGTCAAAGGTACTGAAGATGCAGGTGGGCATTCAGCAGGACTCTCAAAAGCTTAAGTCACTTCTGAAAGCAGGATTTCATAGATTTTGTAGACATTAGGGCAGGAAGGGATCTCGCAAGATCATTGGGTTCAGCCCCTGGCCCAAGGGGCAGGAAGTCAGCTACAGTCAAAGGTTCCTAGCAAAATAGGCATCCAAATGCTTCTTGAAGGTGTCCAGAGTAGGTGCTTGCACCACCTTTACAGAAAGTCTATTCTAGGCCCTGGGGACTTGGACAGTAAAGAAGTTTTTCCTTATGTCCAGCCTAAAACGGTCTTCCAGGAGTTTGTGACTGTTGGACCCTGTCTTCCCTTGGGGTGCACTGGTGAACAGACGTTCTCCCATTTCCTGATGCACACCCCTTATGTTCTTATCGGCTGCCACCAAGTCGCCCCTGAGCCTACACTTCTCCAGGCAGAAGAGTCCCATGGCTCTCAGCCCTCTTCATAAGGCCTGCTCTCTTGCCCTCAAGTACAGTGAGAGGATGACTTTATGGGTCCTGCTTGAGGTGCATTGGTAGATGCAAGCCAGAGTTTTGTTTGCTTTGCCGGCTGCGATATCGCATTGGTGGCTCATGTTTATCTGTTGGTCAGTCATGACCCCCAAGTCTCTTTCAGTCGTGGTGCTAGCGAACGTAGCACTGCCAACCCTATAAGTGTGATGTGGGTTTTTTCTCCTGAGGTGGAGCACCTTGCATTTCTCCATATTGAATGCCATCAGGTTTTCATCCGCCCACCTTGGGAGCCTGTCGAGGTTGGCCTGGATCACCAGCCTATCCTCAAGTGTGACCACACTTCCCCATAGTATGGTGTTGTCAGTGAACTTAACCAGTCTGCTTCTGACACCAGAGTCTAGATCATTTATAAAGAGTACAGGTCTGAGAACAGAGCCCTGGGGGACAACACTGGTCACTATGTGCCATGCAGATTTGGTTTCATCAACTACCACTGTCTGGGTCCAACCCTGGGGCCAGTTCCTTAGCCATTGGATCATAAGGTTGTCAAGGTTGCAGTTTTCCAGTTTTGCTATAAGGACATCGGGATACCAGGTCAAAGGCTTTTTTAAAGTTCAAATATATGATAATCAACTTCTTCTTTGTCTAGGTGATGTGTCACTTGGTTATAGAAGGAAATGAGATTGGTTAGGCAAGACCTATCCACAACAAAGCTGTGTTGGCTATCCCTCAGAATGTTGCTTTCCGTTAGCTTGTTGTTAATGGTTTCTTTGATTTTTTTTTTTTTTTTTCCCCCCCCCAAGAATCTTACCAGGGATTGAGGTCAAACTGATTTGGTCTGTAGTTTCCTGGATCTTCCTTCCTCCCTTTCTTGAATATAGGCACCACATTGGCCCTCTTAAAATCTTCAGGTACCTTGCCCTAGCACCACGAGTTCCTGAGTATCCTTGCCAGTGGCCATGCTATGATGTTAGCCAGTTTGTTTAACACTCTTGGGTGCAGTCTGTCTGGACCAGCTGATTTGTGGGTGTCCAGCCTCTCAAGGTGTTCCCTCACAAGATCTATGCCAGTGATAGGCATATGTTCACCCTTACCCTAGTGATCCTGCATCTTGTCAGGCAAGGTGGTCCCTTTGGGCTGGTGAAAGACCAACACAAAGTAATCGTTAAGGAGATTGGTTATTAGCTGCTCCATTTGGTTTAGCAGGTGTCCAGTGTTGCCCTTCTTTTTTTTCTGACTTCCCGTGTATCTGACGAAGGACTTCTTATTGTTCCCAATTTGTGTAGCCAGTTGGAGTTCAATTACAGCCTTGGCTTTCCTAGTTTGCTCCCTACAGGTTCGGACCAGTGCTGAATACACCTCCTTAGTAGTGTTTCTTGCTTCCATCCTTTGTAAGCTTCTGTTTTTAGATGCAGGAGGTCTGTGAGTTCCTTATTGAGCCAAGGGGGTTGCCAGGCCCTTTTACTACCTTTGCTGTGGGCTGGAATGGATTTCCCTTGTGCTTCAAGGATCTCCTCCTTAAGGAGTAACCATTCACTGTGAACTCCTCCCCCCCACCATCCTCCCTCCATGAACGGCCTCTCAGGGCCTCAACAGCTAGCCTCCTGAGCTTATGAAAGTTGGCTGAGGACTTCTGCATTGCTGACTGACTTGCCAGCTTTGCGATGGATAGTGGAAGTGATCAACTCATGGTCACTGTCTCCCAGCTTCCATTTGATTCTTAGGTTGCTGACTAGATTATCCCCTTTGGCCAGTAGCAGGTCCGGCAGCGCCTTACCTCTTGTTAGCCCGTAAACTTCTTGAGATGAGTAGAGCTCATCCATGCATGTGAAGAAGCTGTGTGACCAATTGGATTTGGCTGAGTGCTCTTCCCATGAGATGTCCAGGCAGCTGAAGTCTCCCATGACAACCATACACCAAGAGCGTGCAGCTTCAGCCAGTTCCCTAGCAAATTCATGGTCAAGCTCTCGCTCCTGATTTGGAGGTCTGTAGTAGACTCCTACCATTATATCCCCTTTGCCACATTCCCCTCGTATTCTAACCCAGAGGGTCTGAAGTCACCCTCCTTGGGTGCCAATCTCCACTTTCAGGGAAGTGTACTGCTCCTTCACATAGAGAGCTACACTCCTACCCATTCTTTCAACACAATCTCTCCTGTACAAGGTATAACCATCTATACCTGTGTTCCAGTCATAGGTGGAGTCCCACCAGGTCTCCATTATCCCTATGAGATCATAGTCATTTCTGTTTAGCAGAAGGGCCAGTTATTTCTGTTTGTTCCCCAGGTTCCTGGCATTTGTGTACAAGCAAGTGAGCCTGCCATTGGAGGCCCTAGGCTTCCCTGCACTCCTGTCCCAGCCCAGGGATGGGGCTTTTCTAGGAGTGAGTTCCCTTGAGCATCCTGACTTGCTAATTTTTGTGGTTGATGCTTGGTGGGTTTGCACTGGTGGTCATCCACCCATCCCCTGGCAAACTTAGTTGAGGCCTAGTCAAGCAGGTCAGCCATTCTGGCTGAGAAGAGCTTCTTCCCTAGAGTGAGGTGGAGGCCGTTCCCTCCCAACAAATCGCTGCCTCTCTCTTCGAAGTGCGGACTG